AGGAAGCAGATCGCCAGACCTTTCTTATGGTGACCCACTAGCTGTTTTCAAACTGTCCACCTTTGGCCTAATAGTTGGGCTCAACAGTTTTTGCCACCCAGGGACTGTCTACCAAATCTTCTTTTGCTAAGGGCAGTCAAGTCGGTTCTGACTCATAGCGAGTTTTCAGAAAGAAGACAAAACAAAAAAAATCAGTGTACTAATAAAAAAAAGAAGTTCATAAAATCATGAACATTATATGTCTGCTATATAAAAAAAACTTGGCTTTTTTTAAAACACAAAGAAAACCAGCCTTTTGAAATAGGCTTCTCTCTGCTTAACATGCAACTAACTCCAAAGGGAAGAGTATTGCAAAGAACAATCTGAGTATCAAATTTCTATATTTAAGGTAGAAGTCTTATTCCTATGAGTAAAATTATACTTTGCGCTACCTCAGAGGTGAATACTTGTAAGCTCCCACAGAAGCAAAGAATGGGCTGCTGTGCAGAGGTTTAATGATTTACATCAGGAAAGTCATATTTGCCACATTGAATCTACCCCCAGCTCTGTCCTTATTTTCTTCTCTTCCTCTCCAACCCTCCCCACATTCCACAAGTGTTAAAGATGCCAAAGAGGTAAGCCAAAGCATCTCCATCTCCCAGATACCAGACATCAGGTAGAAAATTAGTAACTGCTCATTAAAGAGACCAATGCTCAATTATGAACACTTGAGAGGCATTTGCTGTGGTTTCGGCATTTTATTTTGCTGCTAGCTACATGAAGGAGTCCTGGTGTAGTGCTATAAGATAAGCACTGGACTACTAACCTTAGGGTTTACCTATATGAAGGAGTCCTGGTGTGGTGCTATGGGTTAATGTGCCAGGCTGCAAGGCTGTTTGAACTGCAAGGTCGGCAGTTCAAGCTTACCAGCTGCTTCTTGGAAATCCTATACAGGGTTGCTATGGGTCAGAATCTACTTGACGGCACTTAACAACAACAAACTGGAATTCCTCCAACAGCTTCTCAGAAACCCTATACAGGCTCACTATGAGTCAGAACCAACTGACTTAACGGCATGTAACAACCACCACCCACATGGAATATTTATCTGTTACTTTGTAAATAGAAACCAAAAAGTCCTGGTTTCTTTTTGTGTGTATATGTGTTTAAACATTTCAATTCTACAAGAAGGAATAGCTCTTTGCTACTCCCTGTGTAGCCCTGTCTCTTTGTCATCTCCAGCATGCTGTATTTGAAAAGGGTGTGCATTTTCACAATCTCTGCTGGATCTCTGGGTATTAGCATCTTTGGTTTCAGAGATCTAAGTGACAGGGTTGATGAATGAAACAGCTCAGGCTGCCTCCACTCAAAAATGTGCTGGGGGAATTCTCACCTTCTCCCTCATAAGAAACAGCTTCAGTTCCTGGTAAGAGACAGCAGACTCTTGTCTAAATTTATTCTAGGAGAACAAACAAGATGGCGGATCGGGTGGATGTATAGCAGAGAGCTCCGCCAACAACAACACAGAATACCCGACCAAGCAGGTTCAGGGGATGGTCCCAGAACTCTGAACCACATATAAAGGAATACTTAGAAGGTTGGAAGGCTCACAGCTGGGGGAATTTGTGGCAGAAGCAAGAAATCTA